CTATCTATCTATCTATCTATCTATCTATCTATCTATCTATCTATCTATCCACATCCATCCATAAACGTACACACACACACGTATATATATATTTATATACATATATACTGTGCATTCCCAAACTCTCTAGAAACTGGATCATGGTACAGCTCCTGCCAAACAAGCAACCAATGAATAAGACAGTAATCAAGATGTTGCAGTGCTCCTGTTAACTCTGGACCTCATGAAAACTACAGAGGCATGAAAAGACTTTGTAAACAAGGAGCAAAATTCCTAAGACATCTTGTTCGAACTACTAGGTGATGTTTTAGGTAGTTCTACAACCCTGTGAGGCACAGGGAAACAGACCTAGTTCGACCTATTAGCACCAACATTGGTTTAATATTAGTGAGACAGTTTTGAGATTAAACGGAAATCACAGAAACTGTATTTAGAGTTCACGTTTTGCAAATAGACAAAACTTTGAGGCCTCTGTTTGCGTCTTTAAATGAAACAAAACCAAGTATCTGATGTTAATAAATCTACAACACAATACAATACTCCGTTTCCAAAATTCTATTTTCCTTTACTCGATGTAAGAGAGGTGTCAAATCTGGGTCTATCTTTCTACACGAACCATAAAAGTAACAGGATTAACATAGAACAATAATCATGTCAACAATTTCTAAACAATGAATACATTATACAGCCTGTGTGTGTAGTTTCCTGTCGTGTTTACTTAGACATACCGGTGTCCTCTGTTCTGGTCTTGGCTGAGGCTGGGCTTGGCTCTCCGAGGCCGACGGCGTTACGAGCCACCACCCTGAACTCGTACTCCACCCAGGCATTCAGACCCACCACCGTGGCTGTCAGCGTGTTCCCGTTGACCGCCTCTGGCACTGCGAAGTTTAATATTAGACCTTAAAAAAAATGATTCACCACAAATCGAATGATAAATAAATAAATACCCTCCCGGGGGGGGGCAGACATAAATACTATACAGGAACAGCTGTTGTGAAACACCTGTGTCTACAGCCTGCCAGCCCACGGTGAAAGGTGTCCGACCCTGGATGATATAGCCAGTGATGGGGCTGCCGTTGTCCCTTCCGGGAGTCCAGGATAGCTGGGCTGTGCTGTCTGTGATTTCCTCCACCGCTACTTTATCTGGAGGGCCCGGGGGACCTGCATCAATCAGACGGCGGGGTGGGTGAACCTAATGCAATAACCCATTCCAAATAACCCCTACCTCTTCAAACGTATAAAGACCTCCTCACGTTGTTCCATATCAAAGCCATCCCAATTATAAATTGGGTCTGTGGGATGAGGAAAACTACCAAGTGCTGGGTGAACACAAGATCTTTTACTAGGAAAGGATATGGGTGTCACATGTGGACTCCATATTGCTTTGGCTGCATGTTGTACCTGTTCCCTCTGAGGCCCTAATATGCTTCCAAGTTGTATTGCTAATGAGTAAATACACCAATTATATTTATAAGAATTATAATCATACAGACTTGCTTCCAACTTTTGATGGGAACATTTGCTGCAGTTAATTCAGAATTATTAAATATCCTGAAACTGTGTTGGAAACTAAATCCAAGCCCATCTTCCTTTTGGGGAGACTCTCTATCCTTAAGGTGCTCTTTTTACATTCAAACATGACTTGTTTCTAATCGACCTGATTGGTCACTGCATGTAACTCCAGCCTCTTCTTTTTCATTACCCTTTACTTTTCCCAGACTTTAAGCTACCTCCATCTCACCCATCTTAGACTTATTATAGCCATCACAGGAAAGACAAGGTAATATTTCTCATGGAATGTTATTTTATTGTAAGGATAATATTGGTCTGAGACTCAGATTTTACACATCGGTCATGATTGCATACGATTGTCAGCACATCACTGGTATCACATAGTTCTAAACTGTACACAGGAAAAGAACAGAATAATTTGATTTTTATCCACTTTGGTCTTGAAGAAGTGGAACAGGTCCTGACTTATACGTGTAAAAACAATTGGCTTGCACTGTACCACCAAGTAACGTTGTCAGGATGTCATTATAAGAAACTGTGGGCTTTCTTATAATTTGATTCCAATGTGTAGAATTCAGATGTGTTCATTATCAACAAAGAGACCTTTACTCCTTTTATACAAGCACGAAACGTGTAGGAGCATGATCTATTTTTTTCCTGTTACTAAATGTCACATGTTTAGCCTAATTCCACACTAATTTCTTACTATTTAAAGTATTTTCAGACAATTCCTCTTCGGTTCTGTGGCTCATGTTAGCACATTAAAAGCATTATATTTGATATCGGGCTCCACTGCATACAAGCAGCAGATAATAAGGAGCTGCTGGAGGCCAGTGTTAGTCAGACTAATGACTGCAACATTATCTGCATGCATGATAAACTTCAAAGGTGAATGAGCAGCTAGCCACCTGGTTTACCAAGCTTTCCACTGTGTGGACACGTCACCTATATAAAGAACAAACAAGCACCAGGGATTCTGTTGCTGGACTCAAATGACCCTGAAAAATCTATTGCGGGGGAATCCAGCACCCCTTTTATCTCGACTTAAGAATACATTGTTTACACAAGGTTTTAAAGGTTTGCCAGCTTTGATGAAACACAAATTTTTGTTTGTTTACAGTCTATTTTTCCTATAGTTATGAACAGTATGGAAATGTACAATCCATGTTATGAATCAGGCACATTTGTTTATGGCTAAAGCAACGTGCTTGTCCCATTTTAGCATATTTGTCCTCTATGACCGGGACTAATAGAGCGGACATCATTGTTCTCGTTACAAATCCATGATTATGAAGCTAGTTAAACACCTGGTAAGACACGGAGCACACACTTTTTGTAGCACAGCTAAAACCCATAGTTACACATGCCACTTTGAATGTGTCATTGTTACATTTCAGTTGCATCTACTCCATGTATTTGATATAAATAGAATCTGACATAACTCTGACTTCGGCAACATCCAATTTTGCTCTCCTATACTGTATTTTCTGCAGGAACCCTGAGGGATTTTTCACACATTTCTGTCAAACGTCTTTCACTTTGACTACTTTCACACCTTGGCTCCCATTCTGCAGTAAATAAACTAGACTATCTATGCAGCGGCTTGCACAAACAAACTGTTGAAACCTATTATCTCTCTTACCTTTGACAACCAAGATGGCCGAGGTGGACAGGCTCTCCACATCAGTGTCGATGAGGCAGACATATTTTCCGCCGTGGTTAAGCTGGATGTTCCGGATCATCAGATCCCCTGCGATGCTCTACAGCAGATGGATAAATTAGGATAAGTAAGAGACGTAGAGCTATTCCACCAGTGAGACTCTGGCTTTAGCTTTTTAGATGCTTCGGAGTCTCCAGGCCACCGATGTTTAGATCTCTACAAACACCAACATGGCTGATGTGCATGCATAAATAAAACTACTGGCTGCCCTTCAGGCGATACCATACCACAACCAACATCCACACAGGACACACAAAACAAACCCAGCCTAGCTAATTGGCAAGGCGATGCTTATTATACTCTGATTGCATAAACTCAAGCATGATATTGGTGTAAATCCCAACGTAAAGAGAAATATTATCTTACATTAGCAGTGTGCCTGCGGTGCTCATTGAGGTAAACAACATTGCAACAAATATTAACTTTATGTTATTCCATATGTTTTTTCTGGCAATAAAACCCGTGGAAAAACTAAAGCTAGATCACAAGGTTTCTCTGGAGTGTTTCTAAAAAACGAATGACAAACACAAACGGCATGACATTCCATTTTTTAAGAAGGATCCATGCTTGATAAGGCTACTGAGACTTTCAGAAGGGAGAAATGCTCATATGCTTAGGACTTTCTACATTCCACAAAGATCAAATTAACTGATGAGGGTGTCAAAGCTGGGTATAACAAGAAGATCCACCAAATATGTCAGCTCTCAAAGCAGTCGGGGGTCTTGGCAGAGGACTTTGTGGTAAAATCAATCAAAGAATCACAAGTAAGGTCCATAACATTTCTACCAAAAGGAACTTTTTTTTTTCTTGTTTTGGCATCTACAGCAAAATATTGTACAACATATTTAGGAAGTCTGGGGCAGAAACCACTGATCAATACATGTAGAAGTGCAGAATGAACAATATCACCACACAAACTCAGAGGTCCTAGTTTCCCTCTATAACGCCCCGTGCTGTATCCAGTAATGTAACCTGATATTGCATTACGTGAGGAGGAGGCCATTTATCAACTCTCTGAAGTTCTCTGGTGTTTGGACTCAAGATGGACCGAAAGGGAATTGATGTAATCACAGATTCTTTTAAACTGCTTTTTTTAAACATAGTTTTTTCTCAATACACTGGAGTTTAGTGTCAGTGACAACAGTAAAAATCAATTATTTCCTTGGGATTGTGTCTGTTAATTGCATTTTTAACAATATATACAGTATTTATTCATCTATCTTTGCGTCTTACACAATTTCCCAGAGTTTTATGGAAATTAGGTTTGGCTCTTTTTGGATACCAGTCCTGCGGCACAAGTGTCCAAAAAAGGCACAGTTTCAAAGCATGTTTGTGTCATTCGGATGAGTGCACCCATCTTATTATTTGAGCTATCCTACACATTGATACATGCACTGAACACATTTAGACTGCTGCACTTCATAAAAAAAGGAACCTTGACAGGATCAGTTCCCTTACAGTGTGTGTTTGATTGTTTAATGTAACTCTTATTAATAAAATTGCAGAGAGATAACATAAAAAAACATAAAAGATAACATAAAAATTCGTCTTTTTTTATCTCATTTGATCACATGTGACCCTGGACAGTTTAATTTACTTCTTAGTTTGACCGCTGACCGTTTTTCACTCTCTAAGTTCCATCTTGAAGTGGTCTGTCACAAAGGATGTCAGCCTGTAAAAAGGAGGATGCTGCATTAGGGAACTAGTCACCCGGGGGCGAGACAGGTAAGGCTCACTGCAGTCACAGCAGATTTCATCACCTATTGTGGCTAGTCATCATAGCTCCGCTGTGGCGAAACGCAAAGAAATGCCTCCAGATCTCCATTTTTCTCTGATGCGCTCCTGACAAAGCAGGGCTGAGGCAACTGGCACTCACACGTTGTCACGTCTGGGGGAATGTCTGGTGTCTCCTCATGTGTTGATTACCTATTGTGTACACCTGGGGTTCCCCTCCCTCACGTATTTAAATAGTCCTCGTTTCCCATGTCCTGTGCCAGTTCGTTTGCGTCTTTCGTCTCTCGTCTCCCCACGTCATGTAAGGTTTTGATTTCCCATAGCCATGTTTTGCCACAGCCTTGCCACAGTTTTGTTCATCTTTATTTTGTTACTTTGCCATAGCCTTGTTTGACCACTGCCATGTTAATCTTGTTTGTACTTTTGCCACAGTCTTGTTTTGATACTTTGCCACAGTTTTGTTAACCTTGCTTTGTTACTTTGCTCATACTTTTGCCACAGCCCTGTTTCTGAACCTGTTTTTTGTTACAATAAACCCTGTTTTCTGCATCTTCGCGCCTGAGTCCTCCATCAAGACCCACCTTCCTGACACACGTGGCCGTGGGAGGAAAGAAACCCCCTCTACCTTCCGTTTTCCCCCCACTTTTCATCTCCTTTCCATACACTTGACAGTTTTTTTTTAACGCTCCACATCATGATTCGCTTCCCAATGTCAACCGCCACCTGGACGACCTGAGAGCCCGCGATGAGCTGCGAGGCCTTCTGTCTTGGCAGGAAGGAAGTGATGAGGCAGATTTGCTTTAATTATGCTAATTAATTCATCAGAAGCTGTTGAGCAGGGGGCTGGTAATCTCTCTGGACAGGGGGAAACAGATTCTGTGAAAACTATATCTCATTAAATGCAGTCGCACTGTTCAATGTCACCAGTAATTGCCATTTGCATTCATGAAGATATGAGTTTGGCATGTCCACAACACTGTGAAGGTACTCCAGCACTATATCAGCCTCCAACACGTGATTGGCACAAATCACGTGATGACCGTTCGACGACGTATGACTCGTAGAAATGGAAAAACTAGTGGAACTGACATGCACTGCAAAATGACGTTTGCTCTTTATCAAAAGGAACAAATATTCAACAAAGAGTCATTATTTCAAGGTGTAGAAATTTCAAAAGAACATTTAGCAGTGTCAGGCCTGCCCTTGGTGAGTGCCAGTCAGCTCATTACTTAATTATTCCAAGGCTAAAGATTCATAAATAGGTATGCAAATTCAATTATGGTGGTGGGAGATGATAAGAAAATGTTCTCCCTTGAGGTGCAAGAATTAAAAGTTGAAGGGATGAAAAGTATGAAGACTTTATTAATGAGGACCCGAAGTGAGATTTGAAATGGCATTTCACCGAAAAATATTTTCAGTCGTAACGCCGTCCTTTTAGAAAAGGTAAGGATCCAAATGATATGATAGCACCGTTCTCTGAAGCTTTTAAATATCAGAATTCCTGAGTGTACTCAACTCCCAGTGGATATCGTTTGATATTCTGTCATTGTGTGAACACAGAGATGCTCCAAAGTGGACAACACTTGGCTTCGGTCTAAAGCCCCTTTCGCCATCTCACAACACACAGCGTCTCGCCAATTAATGACGACTTACCCCGCCCACTCTTTCGAAGTGATCGCCGTCCAGCACGAAGTCGATGAGCTGGCCGTTGAACGCCCACGAGAAAGAGACGTCCAGAGCCGGGTCGTGGGCAATCTGGCAGGGCAGCACGATGCTCTCGCCAACTATGATCTCCGTGTTAGTGGGCCTCATGGTGATTCTGGTGGGATCTGGCCAGACAGCAGATGACAGTGCACACATGTTAATATCTTTGCCACGGGCACATCTCACCCCCCAGCCCCCCCATCCTGACCCCCGCAATTTCCCCGCTAACTCGATTCCCCAACATTAAATTAGCTGTGACTGCACGCCTAAACAAGCAGTTAAATTTCAAGCCCTGTCCGTCAGAACCATTAAACGACGTCTTTCTCTTTTACGTTTCTGCATCATCAGTTGTGTGGAGAGGGTGCTTCAAACGGGGCTGCACGGATGAGAGCAAACACACACACTATTGTGGACGGATGACCTTACAGTGTGTTGAGGAAAGGTCAGGTTAATTAAATACGGCGACATTAAAGATTTAAGCCGTCAGTGTAGGGAGAAGAATAGGAACTAATGAGGATGAGGTAGCGGGCTACACACGCGGCAAAAAAACAAAACAAAACAAAACCTTTTTTTTTTTTTACATGAACGTGTTGAGTCACGGCAAACATGAATAATGGCCTCCATTCTTTGGGGTTTTTTCTTTCATGTAGAAGCATAAATGTGTTCGTGACGGAGTATTTCTTAGTGTCTCACTTAGGTACCCGTGCGGCTATTAAGAAAGCACAGAAATGACTGTACCTGCTGCGTACAGCCCCCGATAGGAAGCCGCTCTGCAGGTGGCTGAACGGCTCAGAGCAGCCATCTATAACTATCTTTTCAGGATCAGGGATAAAAGTGAGGTTCGGTGTCTGCACAAAGCCAGTATCCATGTAACACAGAGCTTGTTTCCTTAGTAGGAGTCAAACCGAATTAACTGTCCATACAGTACAAACGTTAATTACATCGGTCTGGATGTTGATCATTGTTGGTGGCATCTTTAAAACACACCAATATCAAAGAAACAAGCAGATGACAAACATACATTTTGAAAAAATTGGCTGAATTGGTAAATCTTCTCAATTAATTTGGATTCATGTCAATCCTGTAATTTTCTTCGCTACCGTATTAATTATCCAGCACTTCTTCTGTACTCTACACAATTTTCCTAGATAACGTCAAGTAAAAGTATATCTTATGCTAAGAATATCATTTTGATACATTGCACTGTTACTGTGTATTTATGATTGGAGAGACAGCATTTAGATACAGACTGTTATTGGATTCCTGCCTTCGGTATATATCAGTAACACTATTAATATTCCATACAGATACATTTAGACATATCACACTTTGAAACAGTTTCTAGCTATGTGTGTGTGACATCTCAAAAAAGCCATTAGCTTTCTGTTGTCAGTGCATGTATGTTGTTTGGTGGAAAAATGCTGAGAATGGTCTGACATAATAGATACTCTGAAAAGAATACATCTACAGTGTATGCTGAACTTTTTATGTTTGTGTTGTTTTATATTGTAAAATCTCACGCTTCCTTTGTCCCCACAAGCTGTTAAGTACTACCAACAGCCCTCTGTGGGTCAAGCACTAACCATCCATTTTCGTAACCGTTTATTCCCTAATGGGGTCATGGGGGGGACTGGAGCCTGTCCCAGTGGTCAATGGGCGAGAGGCAGGGTACACCCTGGACGGTCTGTCAGTCCATCACAGGGCCACACAGAGACACACAACCACGCCCACTCATTCCTAAGGGCAATTTGGAATGCCCAATCAACCTAACATGCAGGTTTTTGGACGGTGGGAGAAACCGGAGACCCACAGACACAGGGAGAACATACAAACTCCCCAGAGAAAGGTCCCGGTATCCCCGGGGACTTGAACCCAGAACCCTCTTGTTGTGAGGCAGTGGTGCTAACCACCACACCACGCCCAGGGTAAAAACAATCAACTATCTATTAAAAAGAACAAAACCATTCAATCATCACAATAAATCTTAAGAGAGATATCTCCAATTATATGAAAGATGTGCTCAAATATGTCTAACTGGACAGTTTGTCCGATATAGTATTTATTGCCCACAGCTTACTTGCATCTTTCTGGCAAAAGCAGAACTTACCGGTGATAAGGAGCCTTCCAGTTGTGCTCGCTGTTCCAAACTGGTTCTTAGCTATGCACGTGTAAGTAGCTGCATCCCGTTTAGTCACATTGGCAATCTTCAATGTTCCATTCGGATACAAATTAATCCTGTGGAAAGCAATAAAGATTTCTCAATATTGATTGAGGTTGACACAGAATTTTTATATGAAAATATGTATGTAACCTTGAAAAACAAACTGAACCTGAAACATAGCAGAAACATTTCAATCAAGACTTTAGCGCCAAGTAAACCTTGGTTATAATTGCAAAAAGGGCGACAACACTGAATAACTTGAAAATGCTGAACGCGACTTTTGTGGTGTCACAATAACACCTGAGAGACAAGACATAAATTATTATCAAAAATTAAATTACCAAAACTTTAAGAAACACTTAAAACTAGCAAGCACCACCTGCATTTGATTATGCTTGCTAGGTAGAACCTAGCTGCATCAAGTAAAATTTGTAAAGCCCTTCCACAGACGAGAAGATGTATGTTTTGCTCGTTATGAGGTTAAACTTTTTTTTACTTTTAATGCTGCTCATATTATTGTTGGTGACATGAGAAGGATGGCACATGGAAATAATGTCCTCATTGATCAGAGTACATACATACACATCTCTCTTTCAGAGAGTGGAGGACTCGTTGTACCATGAGAAAACTATTTTAAAAAGGAAAAACAGTCACGCCATAATTAATTAATAAAATGTGAAATTATGTAAAATGTTTTCCCTTTATTGGTAAGGTTTGTTGCATTTTTACTTTTTTTTATCTTATGTGTTTTGTATTATTCTTGTTGGGGTTTTTACTGAGCATTTTTGGAATTATGGGTTTTGTTGGAATGTACTCCCTGTTCTTATTAGTTTAGTAGTGATGTGTTTTTGTTTCTAGTCTCGTTAGTAATGATGGAATGGTTTTAATATTTGTCATTTTAATGTTTGCTTGTATTCTGTTTAGCCCTTTGGTCCTTTTAGCATGTAAAGTGCTTTTTAAACCAAGATGGATTAGATTGACCATGGTTGTTGTTACTGTTGCGTTTCTTTATATTTATCTAATGTAGTCTTATGGGGGGGTTTCACTAGTACCTACTCAGTGGAGCTCGACTGTGCTTTACATGTTTAGCTTTAGCTTTAGTTTTAGGCTGAGATTCCAAGTATATTGGGTCAAGCCCACAGCAGACTGCTGGGCACTGATTGGTCAGGGAGTCCTATGACTGACAACGACTCCTTTAGTTGAACCCCTGCCTGTTTTAAAAAGGCGGCATCAGCAAACGTCTGATTTCAGAATATCTGTGATCTGTAACCTCGTAAAACACCAAAATAAACAAACCAAAACCATGGATTGGTTGGTATATTGTTGCTTGTGTCCCACACAACTGACATCATGGGACAGCCGGTTGGTCACCTCTCTGTTAGGAGCTGATTTGTTAGGGAAAAAAACACTGAAAAACAAACTGTGGTAAGGCGAGTAGTTTTCTTGGTCAAATTAGTCATTAAATTATCCATTTAATTTTTTAATTAGTTCCATCCTCCATGTTTTTTTTTTTTTCAAATACGCCATTAACTTCTGCCCTTACCGGTTTTCTTATTCTCTCTCCATTTCCACTTAAACATTCATCTCTGTATTTCATTATAATTCTCTTTTGTGTGGGATTTTTTTGCACCTTTATTTTTCTTACAAGCTGTTGTGTTCCAATGTGTCCCACATTTCTTTGTCACCAATTTTCACATATGTCTTCGCTTCACAATTCAGATGAGAGGAAGCTGTCTATTTTTACTCTATTTTACTCTATTTTAAATTTAGCCAGAAAGCAGATGTGACTGCTCTGCTAGCACAGTCAGCCCAACCTGTTTTAGATGAAACAGGACACGTGTTACAACCCTAAAAGAAAGACCCCCATTTATCTTACAACACAGGAACACATACAGACACGTTGATACAGTGATATGCAGAATTGTAAATAACAAAAAAACAAAAAAAATGGAATATAAATACTGATGAGCAAATACTCAGGAGGAGAAAACGCAGAAAGGAAACAATATCTCTCTATATAAAAATATCAGACAGTGACTAATCAGAGAGCTTTTATGGAAAAATGGAAGGAAACACGAATGAGTAATGTACAAGGAGATGAGAGAACACATATCTAAATAAATGACTAAATAACCCTTAAAATGATTTAGCAAAATAAACTTACTCGGGACTAGGACAATGTCAAATAAGCACATTTGAGCACTGTTAATTACTGACTTTATGAATGCTTTTTAGTTACATCTTGTAAGTGAACTGACTCGTCTATTTGAGTTGATGACTGTTCCACTCCTCTTACCACAGTCTGCTTGTATATATTGTTTTCAAAGAGCATGTGGGCTTCACCTAGAGCACATTAAATGTCAGTTGGTTTTGGGAGTTCTACCAATTATCCGCAGTTTGGAGATGCAGCCTCTCATCTAGGGCTTGACCGCTGGGTGGACATGATGCTTTGCTCATGCCATTTTACAGACGTGCTTTACAATAATGTTTTATTTTCAGTTTGCATCTGCGAGATTTTCGCCACAGCTTTTTTTCTCCCGCCAATCTCAATATCTGCTGATTGACGGCTCAAATGTTTCTTTGATTTGCCTTTGGAATTCTCCACCTTTAGTTTTCCCATCAATTTTCTATGAAGTCTTTTGGCATGTTCAATTAAAAAAAATTAAAAAAAACAGAAAGAGAAGAGTAAGAGACTAAATTAAGCACCACTTTGTGCGGCTGGAAGTGCCGCTTCATGTTTGATCATTGTCATAATCGTGCCAATGCGGACAGTTTCTCGTCTTGTGAGTACTTCTGCTCTTCAATCCACAGCGCGGCTTTCATCTGCTCTGTTTTTGGTGATTGCATCAATCATGCTCTTGCATCTTCCTTTTGAGAATGATAAAGTAGTTAATTACAGGTGAAACAGCCCCCACTTTTCAGTTCCTTCCGCTACCTAAAGTGGATGGATTTGACTTTCACGGCTGATTTTTATTTTCCAGTCTTTTTTATCTTCTCAAACATGAAATATACGCATCACTGGGACAACCCCCTCGCATTCTCACATCAACCTATTTTCCATAAGAACGTGGATGCAGTATATTAACTGCTGCTTGGAGTTCTCCTTGTTGACGTTCTACTTTCAATCTCCACATTAGCCTTTCCTCTTATGCATCCGCACACATGCCAAACATACTATTGAAATGAGTCGGATCTGAAATTTGAATGAAAACTGTTGGGAATATGCACTTGGACTTTTATCCTACCTTTCAGTTCTTTGCAGGATCTCATTCCCTTTCTTCCACAGGCTAATTGCTGGGGGCGCGGCTTCGGGCTCGCATTCAAGAGTGACTTCGCTGCCTGAACGAGCTTTTAGAAGGGCCTTTAATGGACTTTTTGAGAAGCTAGGAGCTGAAGCTGCGTGCGTAAAGACAAAGAAAGGTTGTGAATTAAAAAAAAATTAAAAGAGAAACGAGAGAGAGGGAAAAAAAACACCCAAAATTTGCAGATCAGCAGTTCTTTGTTACGATAGGCCTACCAGACTGAGGGCTAGGGCATAGTGTTCGCCTTATTCTATAAAAACAACATCCACCCTAATCATGTCTCCAGCCAGCAGACGCTGTCTACACTGATCATCACATTTAAGTTAAGCATTATTCAGGCCCTCAAGTGTCATCATGTCTATCAAGAGAGAATTGAATTTCGCATGGAGCCAGTCAGATGGAAGTCATCAAAGCTTTGCAAATAAATCAATAACCGGTCTACATGAGAAAGCATGCACAATGCCACAAGGCAATGTGTTTGTAGTATCAAAATCAATATATAAAATGACTGCAAGTAACACGAGACAGTCTGCCAGATTCATATATTTTGCTGGCAAAGCCTCTGGGTGACATCAGATGAGTGAACATTACAGCCGGCTGGGTTTTAACTTTACCAGACGATCAAATGCAGACAAAACTGAATAAAAGCTAAATGAAGGAGGCAATCTTACCTAACACCATTAGTTGGGCACTGGAATAAATGATGCCGTGTTTGTTTTCAGCCACACACTGATACATTCCGGAATCTGACAGGTTTAACGCAGTTATGGAAAGAGCCCCATTTTCGATTTGTACCCGGCCCTGCGGAGTAAAAAAGAAACATTTCTGCATATCCATTGCAAGGCCGGCCTATTATTTCCGAAGGCGCGGCAGCAATTACTGGTGCACCATGAAGGGAGGAGGACAGCAGGGGAGGAGAAATGGGAAAAAATCCTGGAGAGCCCAGTGTCATTGCGTGTATATTCAGCTCGGAATAGATGAGGAGGCAGAGTGAAAACTGTGAACTCTCATCTTAGACACGCAGAAAAGGACACCACATTGACAAAAGCACAGACAGTCTATTAAAATGTTGTTTAGACTCTGTAGTCGTTCAGCTGGAAAAACAAAACAAAACTATGGCGAGGCGCAGATGATGGTGGGTGATTTTTAACCCAATTTACGGCTGCTGCAGGGGGAATGGAACAACGCTTTCTTAATTATACTATAGCAATAATACAGGAAATATAGCAAATACACATTAGATACATGACGATACAGACCAACAATTACCACATGTGTGTTCACAAAAATTTACATCTAACCGAGCCCGTGTGAAGTTATCTTTTTAAATTCTTAAAGATTGCTTCCTAACTGGTCTTACTGTTTCTCAAATGCTCTGATGCTAGTTTGCTTCATCCAGCTCAGTTTAGCTGATAAGTACAACCATCCATGTCACCTCACCAAGTCATTAAATGTTTGTACTTAGTAAAACTGTGAAACGTGATAAAGCTATTGAAAATGTTTGACCAAACAGCTAAGCAGAGGAAAAATGGATTCGCCAATGAGCTAGAGGAGGTATTTAGCCCTTTTCCATCTCATCCTCTTTTGGTGTCATCTTCCTTTTTTTGGTTCCTTTCTTTTTGTGCCGACAAAACAATAAGTGCTCATACCTCAGCTGTCACTTGCTCTCCATTCCTCAGCCAGCTGTAGGATGGTTTTGGTTTTCCGCTGGCCTTACACTCCCAGAAGAGGTTCTCCTCTATGGACAGAGCCGTGTCCGTTATTGTCTGGAGCCAGTGGGGTTTAGCTTGGAATAAATGAAAGGATTACCTACTCAAACATGCGTTGTATTCACAGAAGAAGATTGGCATACAAAAAAAAAAAAAAAAACGAGACGCCATTAAAGGAGTCTGGTCTTTAAAATGCAATGTAGGATTTGCACTGAGTTTCAAGCGTTGGATTATCAATATAATTAAAAATACCTCTCTATTAACCTGAAATTTGTTGGAAACCCTAATATAAATATGCATTTTACATTCTGTCAAGAATTAGATTGCTTTCTCTCTGCCGGTCACTTGAATGCTGCTCACACAAATAGACGTCTGCTACATTCATACCCGTCGTTCATTATCGTTCAATTTGTTACAGCTCACTTACCGTGGAATGAAATGCGACCCCGCGCTGCATTTTTGCCCCGACGATTCTCTGCCATACACTCGTATGTGCCCGCGTCCTCCTGCTGGAAGTTAGGGATTTCCAGGACGGCATTCGAATTCTTCATTTTGACTTTGCTGGGGAAAGGGACGCCGCTCGTTCTCCTCCAGCTTATTTCTGGGACAGGGCTGTTGTGATCAAAGTGTGATTAAGTGCAGAAGGAGAGCAGCTGAAGCCAAAGCCTAATGCAACACTGCTCACAGAAATCAAACTCCAATTGCTCGGAAATCAGATGCTTTTAAAGGACCTTTGATTCCTGCTTTCCCTTTTGTCTTTATAGCTCATTTTGGCGCTTGCTCTTATATGGATTGATGGATCTCAGAAGTGCCTCTAACACATGCGAGGATGCACCTACAGCTTATTTCACACAGACAACAATGCTGACTTACTTTCCCAGGGCAAAACATTCCAGTTTCACCACCGATTCTTTCGCAGCCGGGACTGGATCTGGAAAATGAACCTCTATTTTGGGTTCATATTCTCCCATTACTCCTGCGGTACGGAAACAAGAGAACACAAGGTCCTAATCGTGCAAGAAAAGAAGAAGAGCTCTAACACATTAGCAGCGCAAAAATAAAAAAGTTTTTTATGGGTACGGGGCAAAAGTGACCACTGAAGGGTATGAATAGGGAGCAGAATCAGAGGTGGGTCATAAAAGATTCAGAGAACACATCAAGGGAAAAGATTGGCTTGGTAGAGATTTATGAATGCGATTTCATTTATGACTTTATTTATATTCACATCACTAGGACGGACTTATTTGCGGAGATAGCAGCACGCCCTTTACCATTACCAATTACATCCCTACTGCCTGGGAGCGAGAGCTCAGTTTGGTGTCCCCGCGATGCTCTCAGATTAAAAATCCCAGCAGTATGTGGTAAAAGTGAGCAGAGCACATACCTTTGGGAGAATATGTCATAATGCCCTTCAACACATCATTCATACGCTAATCATATTAATGCGGGGTTAATATTAATCTGCAATGATTTCACAGTAATAGCTCTTTAAAGCTTAATGCGGTGAAAGGGGATCCCAATAAGACCAAATATTAGTGTAAGTGATGGAAATCCACTGATAAAAGCTGTCATCGCCAGCAATACCCACAAATAGTCACAACATTGAACTTGCTCCTGTTTTAGGATTTCTGTAGTGCCATCATATACCTCAAATCTGCAAACATTCAATATTGAACTTTTCGACTATTATTGGACAGCTTTACTTACTCTCAATTTTTAAGTGAACATTTTTTTAATGTGGAATAAAAGAAGTATTTAAAATACAACAAATCATAATAGATTAGAAATCGCATCTTCAATGTTTCTTGCCTCTATTTGCCTACAAAAAGCAGATTAATCGGATTATATTTCACAGACCTTGAATGAGTTTGAATAAACCAGTCCCAGAAGTTTGAATAAACCATTCCCAAATGGGGTACAGGGGGACTGGAGCCTAACCCAGTGGGTTACAGGTGGGGCACACCCTGGATGTGCCACCAGTCCATCGCAGGGCCACGCAGAGGCACACAACCACGCACAATCACAACCACTCCTAAGAGCAATTTGAATTGTTCAATCAACCTAACATGCAGGTTTTTGGACTGTGGGAGTAAGCCGAAACTCCACACAGAAAAGTCCTGGTTCCCCCTAGGGACTCAAACCAAGAACCTTCTTGCTGTTAAGCGATGGTGCTAGTCACCACACCACAGTGCCACCACCCGGTAGATCATTACAAGCTTATTTTTTCTCATTACCTCGCTGATGAATGCTCTTGCAACATCAAACATATTGACGGATTGTTCCTATTTAGAACTATTTACAGTGCAGGTCAAACCATATCCATCTTAAGCAAATTCAGTTATTATATATGGCTTACAAAGAGATGGATCTTTGTTCAAAATCTATTACAGTAAATATTACAGATAGGGACAGAAGTAAAATAAAAATATAGGCTACAAAGTTGTACTTTAGGAGCAAGTCTCACCATTTCATGGAAGTATAATGGAATAAAAAATTTGTTTAACTATGCAAAGAACATAAGTATGAGTTGTTTTTTTTATGTTAGAGAAAATGCTTTTCTATTAAAACACCCACGGTTTTATTTTAAACCAGAATATTAGCATAGGTCTTCAAGATGGTGTCCCAAGTGAAAAGTTAAAATTGCCCAACAAGTAAAGCCTGCAAATGAATTCATCTGCAGCTAATGAACAATCCAGTTTTTTTTTCCTAAAGCATATAGACATATGAAAAGAGTCCTGTGTATAGTTTATCAAATGATACAATGACCTACTTAAGTACCATTTTCATATGTAGACATGACAAGGTAATGCAGACTATCGCTATAAAGTTAGGACTCCTTTTTCTTCCCTAGATCACAGCACTGTTGAACTGAAACACAACACACTTGTCTGCTTTCTCCATTGATATTTTGTTTAGCAGATATCACTGTGCAATCATACCTTGAAAAGGGGCAAGAGAAAAAAAAAATCTGATAACACATTGCAGTTGAATCTATGAGGATGTGTTCACATTTCACAGCCGGAGGGGACTGAAATCCAATTCTTTTCATTGATGTGAGTCATATCCGATATATTCAGGACTGTATGGACGCAGAAATCCAATCAACAGTTCAGATTTTGTAATTGCAGTATTTGGTCCTACCTTACATGTGGATGTGGGAAATAATTAAGGATGCTCAAATATTGTATCTTAACAGTTGCTAAAAGAAAGAAAGCTTGCTGATACCTTCCATTCCAGAATAACTTGTGTGGCTCGGGGAAATCTTCCCAGTGATCTCTAATATAATGCTCTCTGTTGTTGTGGAAACAAGTATCTCATACAGAACATATCTAGCGTTCATGTGCAACATGTCAGCAGGCAGGTAGTTACGGAGACAGTTTTTATATGTTTTCTGTTTTTACCGTCACTCCTGAGGACAAGTGGTGTTGGAGAACTGAGAACTTTCTCTCTGGTGACGGTGTTGTTGACCACACAAGTGTAGTTGCCCACGTCTGACGTCTCCACCTTGGCAATGTACAGACTTCCGGTCTCTTGGGAGATGAATCTTCGATTGTCTTGTTGGACGAAATACGGATATTCGTTGAAGATCCACGCGAACGTCAGCTCTAGGGGGAAGAGATGCAAAAAAACAGTTCAGTGCAGCAGTGGTCACCTATCACACCTCTAGCCGGTTTCTGCTTTCAACACACGCCCGACGTGCATGCCGGGGAATATCTGAACTCCACTGTGGCCCCGAACGTGTTTGCATATCATTTCATTTCCATCCCCCTCATCCTGGTGTCTTCAGGAGAAGATATCAAAGATGTAATAGCTATCAGTGCAGAAAAAAATGAGGGAGCAGAGGAAAGGGAGCGAAACAAACCGGATTACAGCGCGTCAGTGACCCTCCCCTGATGCGTGGCCTCCATTCTCCAGGTCCCTGAGAGACTCGGTTCGAGGGCGGCGCAAGCGAGTGAATGGATGTATTGGGGGGATCAATGGATTGACATACGGAAATAGGCACATGCTGTCACTCCTCTTAACAAGCGGCAAGTCTACCATAAAAATGGATAGACCTGTCATGATGAATTACTGTGTCGTTTTCAAGGAGCACACACTACGCATGCTTCCATGAGCAAGGAGATGCTCCATGTAATCTTCTATTTCAAACGTAGAGTGCGTGTGTGTGTGTGAGGGGAGCAGTGTTCTGAGTCAAAAGGTGGATGCAATGACTGTCAGTCATGTCCAACAGCCCCTAAGGGGGTGAGCCACTGGGCTCCGAATAGGATGGAGCATCCAAGCAAAGGGGCCGGATATGCAGCTGAAGCGCCTCTTCTGATTAGGCAAGCCCTGGCCACGTATCTCGGAGTCAGCACAGACCATGCCTGAGCCGCTTTGCCGTAATGAGCAGTGGTAGCATTTCACAGGGCAGTTCTTTGTCGAGTGCGGAGTGAAATACAACTCGAGCTTTCATGCAAATAGCAATAAGAAAAATAGACTCCCTTTTAAGTAGACAAATGGCTTTGCTAGAGGACAAAGCCATGTATATGCATATGCGTTTGTTTCTTTTTTCATATATGGGTGTTGTGATTGTGCGCACGGTTGCAGAGGAGATAGCACCAGCAGATTTCAAATGCAATCAAGCGTAATGAAAACCTGAAGAAACACTTCGGACTGTAGGTGTCTGATATAGTTCAGTGGAGTGCAAGGTTATGTGGAACATCAATGCTTTCACATTCACGACTTGAAAGAAAAAGCGCAGAGAAGGAGGCAGGCAGTCAGCGAGGGGAACCAACAAGGTGAAGAAAATAAGAAATGTATGCTAGCCTTGCAATGCTTTCCTTTCATTCACTTTTGAAAATGTGGTAAAAACACAAAAGCACTACGGTTACAGCACCCAGCCGTGCATAAGCCTGTGTCAGAGAGGAAAGCTGTCAAACTGTATTTCACACGGAGTACTCTGACCCATTATCCCAAAGACCAGCTGTACAAAGCACTGCGACAAACTGTTCTCTTGTGAAGGAAATTGGCTGTTCCAGTGTGCAAGCTATTGTATCAAGGGGCTGACATGCTAGGCAGCAGCCATTGTGTATGTCCTCCGCTTCTGGAGATATGCAGAGCGGTTTGGGCTGTGCGGCTTGCAACTTTATCTCCTTTTTGTATCCACTCATTTATAGTGTCAGTCTCTGCTTTTCACTTGAACAATTAAAGTATCTTTTCTGGAATATAGGCTGCACGAATATAAAGCCGCACACACCAGTTTTATGCTCTTTAGCATATAGGCTGGATGTAGTGTGGAAACAGCTTGTGTGGTGGCAACAAATTCCCGCTTTTAACCTCTCAGCATTTTATGTGCTGAGTTTAAATGAGAAAACAAAGTTTTAGTAAGATCTTTTATAACACCAAGTATTTTACGTGATAAGCAAATCAGCATACTGTGTTAATTAGCTGCTACAGAGGTGCTGCTTTGCAGTGGTTTTGCCACCTTTTGGCAACGCCTAGCTAGCTGTTGCCCTGCTTCTTGTCTTTGTGCAAAGCTTAACTAGAAAAGAAAAGAGTGCCTAATGAGTGTAAATGATTGTAAATGAGTACATTTAACCGTATTTCATTTAAATGACACATAGTATGGCTCCTTAATGGTAATCCAGCCATTCTTTACAAGTTGCCAACAGCAGATGATCGGTACACAGCATCAAGATCGTGCATGATGTAAACTGAAAAGACCTCACAATGCCAAGCACAGCAAATGAAGCCCAGACAAGCAAGCTAGCAAACTGAGGAAGGAATATTTAACAAGATATTTTTGTGCTCAAATATTTGAAATTCCCTCTCTGCAGTTTGCAGTTGTATTTGTCTTTTAGCTACTGTCTAGTTGATAATGTAAATAATGAAATGAAAGGGTCCAGGTCACAGAACATAAATTGAACCAGGCTTCTAGTCAATTCCTCTGTTTTGAAAATTTGAAGTGCTAATTGTAAGGACTGATCTTTGTTAGAATCCACGTGTATTTCAACTGCTTTTGTGTGGGTGTAAAATTCTCTTTTCTTTTCAATTCAAACCTAGGAAGGGTAGCCTTTTTCCTCTTTTGCATGTGTGATATTTCCAGGCACCCAAAAAGGATTTTCCAAAACAGAGGGGAAGGATTTCAATTCATGAATGACAGACTAATCTGACAAAAATGCTGGTTTTATTAGAAAAACACTCTGAATAAAGAAAACAAAAACACAAAAGCCGAAACTTGTTTGCTAGTACTTAGTGTAAAATGGATGTAAATTAATATTGGGCCTCTAAAAGCATATTTATGTTAAAAGGGACTAATCCTTCACTCATTCCGCATTCTAATGCAGAGTAATTCCTGTGGATGTTTTTTAGGCAAGGCATGCACAAAAGCCAGATAAAGTAGACTTACCTCCGGAATGTGGAGGAGGTCCACATAACAGAACCACTCCTTGGCCCTCGCGGACGTTGACAGCACTCCTCACCGTCTGAGTCTTGAAGTTATCAAGATCTGATGAGTCAGATAAGATTGAAATGGAATTTGACAGCAGCTTTAAAAGGAAAAATCCAAATCATCACCCCCACTGCACGTGTGTCTGACAGCCCAAAATAAAAAAAATTTGTTTGTTTGTTTATTCACATGGGTTTCTTTGACCAGGATGGTTTTGCAAATGTGGACATAGGTTTTTTTTCCCAAACTCCCCTCTCTGAATCGCTGAGGCGTGTTTTTGATGTTACATTTTGAGCACAGGAACTTTAATAGGGCATCATCGATCACCTGACAGCGGCCGATGCTTTCAAAGGCATCTGGGGTTTGCGGATGAAATAGACAGACCTGACTTGGGTGACATCTACATGGCGACGCGACAATAAAGAGATTAGACTGAAAATGGGAGAAAAAGGAGCGGGAGGAGGAAGGAAACGCTGCGAACAAACACAGGGGAGCGTGCATGACAAATGACAGTTTGCAGCGCCAGCAGCAATAAGTAACATCATTATTAAATGTGGTGTAATCTCGCACTTAAAAGCATTAGCTTCCTCATCAATACTCTCAGCACACTCTATCCCCCCTGCAAATGAATAAGCACTTTCTGGCAGACAAAAAGACCAAAACCTGGGATGATAAACCACCCCTTGGCTTCATGACTGATGGAGGGAAGCTGCCGCAGTCCGTTCTGCACTCTGTCTGCACCCGCTGGCTAACAGCCTTGAGTAAGCCTTCCAAACACAAACAAAAGAAAGTCAGTGTGACCGATAAGGGGAAATTAGGAGGGGGAAGATTATGGAGAGAAGTGGGACAGAGAGCCGCTAAGATTAATGAGCGGCTCTCTGTCGACCGCAGAGGAATCAAACGGAGCCAAAAGAACGGCGGGACCTCGAGAGGCCGCGGGAGGAGGTGAATGACTTGACAGACGTACAGAGGAAACATCCCCATGATCTCCCCCCTCCCGCCCCGCAATGCTTTAGCAAATACAGAGGCTACTCAGGCACAACATTTCTGATTCTGGGGAGCTCAATTCAATTTCAATTCAATTTTACTTATATAGCGCCACATCACAACAACAGTTGTCTCACAGCGCTTTCCAAACAGAGCAGGTCAGACCCTACTTTGAAGTTAATTACAGAAACCCAACAATTCCCACCATGAGCAAGCACTAGACGACACAGGCAAAGAAAAACTTCCTTTTAACAGGCAGAAACCTCGAGCAGAACCATGGCTTTCCTAACAGAGCAGGTCAGACCCTACTTTGAAGTTAATTACAGAAACCCAACAATTCCCACCATGAGCAAGCACTAGGCGACACAGGCAAGGAAAAACTTCCTTTTAACAGGCAGAAACCTCGAGCAGAACCATGGCTTTCCAAACAGAGCAGGTCAGACCCTACTCTGAAGTTAATTACAGAAACCCAACAATTCCCACCGTGAGCAAGCACTAGGCGACACAGGCAAGGAAAAACTTCCTTTTAACAGGCAGAAACCTCGAGCAGAACCATGGCTTTCCAAACAGAGAAGGTCAGACCCTACTCTGAAGTTAATTACAGAAACCCATCAATTCCCACCATGAGCAAGCACTAGGCGACACAGGCAAGGAAAAACTTCCTTTTAACAGGCAGAAACCTCGAGCAGAACCATGGCTTTCCAAACAGAGCAGGTCAGACCCTATTCTGAAGTTAATTACAGAAACCCAACAATTCCCACCATGAGCAAGCACTAGGCGACACAGGCAAGGAAAAACTTCCTTTTAACAGGCAGAAACCTCGAGTAGAACCATGCCTCAGGGTGGGCGGCCATCTGCCTCGGCCGGTTGGGGGTGAGGGAAAGAGAGGGCAAGAGAGAGAGGGCGAGAGAAGGACTCTCAACACAGCAACATGTAGACTAGATTAAAAATGGCAAGTATATTAATACTCATGATGATGGTAGAACTTACGACAGCAATAACACTATAGCACTGTAGTGAGAGTCAAGCCTGGTCGGTTTAAAAAAAGCCAACATTACAGCAGCTGATAGTCGTGGCGGGATCGCCCTTTGAAAACAGCGGGAGGTGAATCAAAGAGCTACTGGCGATTATTTAGCGGGCCAGAGAAGGATGACTCCTTCACCTGGATTGTGCGGAGTTAGCACAGAGAAAAGGGAGTACTATAGGTGCAGCGGAGCTCACGGCTGGAGGGGCCTACACCCTCTCTCTACTGTGGCCTCAGAGCAGAAGAATAATGGGCTTCAGCGGAGTGAACTGACCACACACCGTAACTCTGAGAGCCAGAGGCCAAACTCACTATAGCCGCGGCGAGTCCTTTGTAAGCAGAATCAATCTCTGCCACACAAGAATGGCTGGCCCAGAGATTACAGAGAGAGAGACCATTACAGCCTGAAGATGATTGGGCTTGGGCAATGGCTCCGGCCATGCAGACACTCTATGCAGCTATACTTTATTGTGTACAGCAACATTTTTCAGCAAAATCACCTGCTCCAGAGGCGCCACAGCGCCGTTAAGTGAATGGAAACATTTAAATGGAAAATTCCAGTTATTTACGACTTAGTTAGGATAACAGAGTGCTTTCGTTTATCATTTTTATTATTCCTGCGGCACGAACTGTATGTAAGTAAGTATGACGATAAGCAGAAGTGGGCAGTATTGCCCTCCATTTACTCCGCTACCTTTAATTTCATGGACAAATTGTGCTTGTAAGATTAGTTCTATTGCAGTGTGCTTTTTTGCTTTTACTTGAGTATAGTTAGAAAGAAGAAACACGGAGAAACTCTCTGTTCGTCATGCTCATTTATGGTTATCTGTCTCCGGTGCTAGCTCTTTGTTTTTTGTTTTCTTTTAATTTCATGTGACACAATTTTTCCCAATCAGACAGCGACGGACAGCCTGGCAGTCAGTGCTAAAAGAGAAATAGAACATCCCCATCCTCAAATTCAGTCAATGTTCTCCTTCAGATCAATTTAATTTGTTTCAAAAGTTGATGTGATATGTCAAACTATGATTGTACCACATAAAACTGCCTGAAAATTACATGGATAATAATGAAATGGTTCGAAATGGCTACAATGCTATAATTTGATATGTAGGTGACCCATCAGTGGATTTCCATCTACTGACCACTGTGACACAGATAGTATCCGTAGTGAAATTAATTAAGAATTTCTGGATTTTTTTCTTCAATCTTGAATCAGGCGTAATTTAAGTAAACAGCAAATTACAATCATATGCTGACTTTTTTTTAAGAAGTATGTTGTGTAATGTAGATTTCTCAAATGAGCTGTAAGAGGACACGAATTTTGAGGGAGAAGCTAAATCAGCAGAGGAGGCCCAACATCTCTAACCTCCCGGGCTGGAGATGCTGGGTGATCATTACACGCGAAAGCAGAGAATCAGCCTCGGCCTCCCTCACCATGCATTAGGCAACACAATAAATGTCAAGCAGCTCTGCTTCTCACTCTGTCCCCACAAGTGAGATTCATGACCGAGCTATAGGGGTAATGGCAGTCCATCTCACGAGAGGAAGTGAAAGGCTCCTTTTCCTTGGGACAGGATCGATAGTCAGGAGGCTTGATCAGGAAATGAGTGGTGAGTCTACTCTGGAAGGCAGAAGCCCGTTCTTTTTCTCTGATGTCACCACGTGATGAGTTCAAAAACGTTGTATGCTTAGGTGGTGATTACTGTAAAAAGACTTACCGAGCATTATTTGTTTGTTTCTCATTTAAATTTCGGATCACGAGATCTGGCAAAACACGAGTGTACTTGGACCGAGTGCAGATGCTGTCAAGAGTTGGAGCCACTAATGAGAATCAATGGGGTTCAGAGGCAGTCAGAGGCCACCTTTGTGTTTGTTCCATCTGACATTTCACTCGATTACAATATCCCCTCTTGAAAATCTATTTCAAGGCAATCTTAATGAGAAACCGGGTTATTCGATGAGAAAGAGCAGGAAAGGTTCGACTGTACAAGCGTAGCATCACTTACAGGCAAACTGGAGGCTCGCTCTGCGGCTCAGGACGGACCCCCATGTGTTGAAGCCCATGCACTGGTACACCCCGCTGTCTTGGTCCTTGTCCAGGCTGGTAATGATCAGGCTGCCCCCAGACATGTGACGCCGGTAGTCTCTCCCCAGATCAATGAGTGTTCCGTTTAGTGACCATCTGGAAAAACGCAAACACAATCAGCAAGTCGAGCTCCCAGGAGAAAAAAGCGCTGGCAATGTTTTATCACATGCATCGATTCGATGGATCCGCCCAGATCATTCTAAGAGGATAAAATCCGAGCAACAATAGTTAGGGCACGTTAGGACACGAAGAAAACAAAAATAAAGAAATAAACAAACTAACTATTTTTGTAAGTGTACACAGCTAAGGAATCAGCACAAATCCATTCAAGAGATGGCCTCAAAAACTGTTCAGAGTGGACTTCTTGTCCTATGAAAGCTGGGATAGGCTCCCATGACGTGTAATTAGTGGGCATAGAAAATGGACAAATGGAAAGATTTGAGGCGAAATGTCTGCAAAGCTGTCCAACGGAATTCCAATAAATTTAGTGCCGGTTTTAAGAATCTATTTTTATTGATCAATTTTACTGGTTTGTCAAATTTTTGTTTGAATAACTTGTGCAAACATTTTTTTAAGCCATATCACATTTCTTTATGTTGCAAAGAGTCACATTTTCCTTGCCTTTTAAACCATGTGTTTTTTTGTTTTGGTTGTTTTTTAACCGTAGCAGATATTTTTTTTCTAATTTACACTCCAATTGTTGTACCTGGTCATGTTCAATCACATGTGGACAACTTAGCTAAGAATTTATTTCAAAACTGTGTCTGAAAGTGTTTTGTTGCTCGCTGCCTGTTGCAAAGCCGTATACATTTTTCCCATGAAAAACTAAAAAGCTAATACAGTTTGACGGGGGTAAAAAAGTACATCTCCACCTCCGAAGCGATTATCAAAGAACTGGTGTGTATTGGGGACCTAAGAGTCAGCTAAAATAAAGTATCCACAGCTAAATCAACAGTATTGGAAAATGATGCACTTCAGAAATAGGAAACTGAGGGATGTTAACTGAAGCTTCAATAGAAATGGGGTCCATGCTGGCTTCCAAGTAGCCATTCTTAAGAAAAAGAAATAATTGAACAAGCTTTTCTTCTATAAATACAACAGGTTCAAGCAATTTGTGGCATGAAATACCTCGGCAACAAAAGTATTCATATTCTCATGCTATCAATGCGCCTATCCCTACTACTAAGTTTTACACAATACTGTGCAAGCTGTCTTTAGATATGATCATTCCCTCTATAGTTTTTCCCTTTTTATTTGGGAATGTTATCAAGTGTTTGAGTCTTTTATGTCTTATTCTGGATTAATTGTTTAACTAGGGTTAAGGTTATCATCAGCTGATTTTTGGCTCAACATTTCATTTGGTCAAACTTATTTGTAATTTTGAATCTTGGCTGCGGACATGTTTAGAAAAATCCTGCAGCCTTACAGCCCCCATCAGTCTCAAGTAATAAGCATACGTCAATCTCAGTGCAAGACCTTTAAAACAGCAGGGCAATGTATTCACCTCCACAAGTTTACCGCAGATATAAATATGGATGCTAAGTAACAACTGTCCTTTTTAGCATTCTGACAGGAGCGTTTAGCTCTTTTTGTGGTGCACAACTTCACAAAGGTATCCCCCTCTGAAAATATCCCTCTCTACGATTTGTTTTTTGGATCCCTGCCATCATTTTTTAATTCAGATGGCAGTGTTTGTGCGAAAGTTTACAATGGGCAAACACAAAGTACAAGAGAGAGCAAAAACAAAGTTATAAACATAATACAGTGGTTCATCTATCCTGGGAGTTATGTTCCAGCCCACCTGACGGGTGAAAATCTACGTAAATAGCGACTTATATTTATGTAATTATTTATTATATATATTTTAAGGCCTTATAAACCCTCCACTCATTGATAAACATTTTCCAATTTTTAGAAACATTTTCTAGACTCTTAAACGTACTTACAGTATGTTTAACAAAATATGTAATTCTGTATGCGATTTTCCATTCTTTTTAATAATTCTAATTGTTGTTTCTTATGTTCTTTTTTTAGGCTACAAAAGGCTTATTTTACCACACAAATAATGGAAATAAACGTATTAAATATCTGCAGCATATACTTCAAAATCCTACTACACAGAATTAATATTTAAAAATCTGTGTTGGCTATACCTCAGTTTAAGACCATTTAATATAAAATAGCTGCATCTTGCTTGCCTCAAAGGCAGGTTTCATGTTGAAGGGTTTTGTGAGTTGACTCCACCTTCCTCTGAGTCATCTTTCGAGGACCTTTTTGCATTTTTACACAGCTAAAAAACACCACAGAATGTCATTTGCATATCTTTGAGAAGCCCAGGGCAATGACAGTAGCAGGATTTGACGCCTTGGAAAAAGGTGGTGTGCAGGGCTAGATTTTTAGGTGCCATTTGCTTCTCGATTTTAGCTACAGTGCACACACGTGAAACAAATCTCACGTTCCATCTTGAAAAAGCACGGCATCTCTTTCCACTGTTTGGCCCACGACAGCCAGATTTATGTGCCACTGGAAAAGAAAGATGTTTTCTCCATCACACCACTTCTCTTGAAGACACCAAAACCTGGATGTCCTTTAACTTTTTCAAATTTAATGAAAAGAAAACAGAAGCCATGATGTTTAGTCCCAGGGGCTCTCGACAAGTCCCCCCTTTTGACTTTGGCCCCTTGGCACCATACATGAAGACAACAGACAGAAACTTGGGTTTTAAGATGGAAACAAACTTTGGAATGACGTTCCACTCCACGTCAGATATTTTTAAAACCTGTCTTAAAACCCATTTTTATTCCTTGGTTTTTAGCCAAGCATGAGACTTCGTTTTTTTTATTTTTTATCTTTTATTGTCTTAAGATTGTGATATTCTTATTGTCTTTATTGTTTTGTTGTTCATGTCATAGATTATATTTTTCTTTTCTTACTTGTTTGTGTACAGCCCTTTGTCTCAGCCGTGGCCGTTCTTCAAGGGCTTCAAAGTTGAGTCGAGTTTTGCAATCTGACGCAGATTTGAGTCTAAATGGAAATTTGAAAGTGTCCAAATATTTTGCGCTATTCGTGTTACAAATCTAAAAGGACTGAGCAGCCTATGCAGATTTATGTGCTCTTTTTGTGCATTCTAATTATTTTTCTGTTTGTGCTTTTGTGTCTGACATATTGCTTCCTGACACCTTCATACCGCATTGTCTACAGATCATTTCCCAAAGAAAGGTCACGAGATACGCTGTCATGCCAGCTTTATTCGGCAAGTGACAGCTATTAATCACAGCCACAGACGGAGACAAAGCGCTGAATAATGTTTGAGCCCCACAATAAAAACACTTCATATGTAATTTACTGTAACCTGCAATCTGTCAGTCTGAGAGTGCGACATATTTGAGAGACATGAAAAGATCTATACGATACCCCTTGAAAGCAGGCTGGTTAAGAGCAGTGTGGAGGAGTTACAGATACAATTTCAGTTTTGCATTCGAGAAATAAGGCCTCATTAAAATGCCAGGTGTGAGTCTCCCTCTCTGCAAAGGGGCTGCAGAGTGAAAATTCCAATCATAAGAGAGAAAATAATCAATATCTTTTTTAGCCTCCCGGGCAAACTAACAGGCTGTTAGAATGATGCATCATGCAGTCCTGGAGCCAGCCGTGGCTCTCCCCTGTTTCCTGCCTGACAGACTACAAAAGAAAAAAAAGCTGTCTTTCATCTTGTATCCCTGCATTATTCATCTAACAGTCTGTGCCAGTCACTTAATCTGACTGATTTTGTCACTGTTTCAACAATATTACTTTCAAACATCCTACACTTGTCGTGAAAAGGCTTGAGTTTTCCAAGAATATTCATGAATACGCCAAGATTTACGACAAAACACTCCATTTAAAGTCTACGCTGTCCCTGTCCTCTGCTGTTTGTGCCAAAAAAAGAGGATTATTCTACGTGCAAAAGGGGGAGGAGGTTAAATGGAAAAGGATGGGCTGCTAGTAATACTTTAGCAGCCCAGCGTGATTGGATTTAATGGGAGATGAAGGTGTGCAGTCGGGACAGATCACACACCCCTGCAGAGGCAAGCTGGCTGGGTGTAATGGGGCAGACACAATCGGTAAGCCACCAGCCCACTCTTCCCACAAAAAACACCTGAGACTCAGTAGTATATTTGCTGTTCTGAGATTTCAAGACGTGAAAAGATCCAACATGAGCTGTCTCTTAGTTACAAGAT